AATATATTTTTATTGAAAATAAAAGAAAAGGAGAGGGAGTGATAGAAACATCAATGATAAGAATCATTGATTGGCTGCCTCATGCATGATCCCCACTGGGGAAAGAGGCCGCAACCCGGGCATGAGCCTTTACCAGGAATCTGGTTCACAGGTCGATGCTCAACCACCTAGCCACACCAGCTGGATGTGGGGATATGTTTTAACTGATTTTTAGTGAGGGAGACAGAGAAACATGGATGTGAGAGAAACATTGATTGGTTGTCTCCCTTACTTATCCTGACCAGGGATCAAACCCCATAATCTTTTGGAATATGGGATGATGCTCCAACCAAATGAGCCACCCGGCCAGAGCTCAAATAGGTGTAGTTTTTTTTTCTCACATCAATTATTTCTACTGATATTTAACATACTAAAAATTAAAACTGAGACTTTTAAGATTCCAGTAATGCATTTCAATCTAACTACAAAACTATTATCTATTACATAATTAATATTTAATGAAAAATAACTATTTGAGAAACAAAAGTTATTGAAAAAGATGGTGTTTTTAAATTTTTTTATTCCATTCATTGGACTGACATCTATATATATAAAAGCCTAAGTGATCAAATGACTGGTTGCTATGATGTGCACTGACCACCAGGGGGCAAGACGCTCAATGCAGAACCTGCTCCCTGGTGGTCAGTGCACTCTGCCACTCAGCTGACCAACCTGTCCCGGCGGCCGACCAGCCCAGTGGTAGCTACTCACTCCCTCAGTAGTCTTGCAGGTCCAATCTCTGGAGAACGGTTCAGGCACCGATGGACCTGTGCTGCCGGCACAATCCTGACAGTGCCGCTGGCCTCCTGGAAGTTGGCCTCAGGCACCGTGGCCGCTTACCCTCCCTCGACACTCCGCAAGGAAGAAACGATATAAAAGCGGCTGCCAGGTGGCTCCTGACAACTGGCGCGGACATCAGCAGGACAGATCTGGATCCGGGGCCAGCAAGGGCATCCCACTGCCTGCCTGGAGGGCTGATTGTGTCCTTGCCCCTCACCCGCCTCGGGATGGGCGCCAGATGCAGGGCTCATGGCTGGCGAGCAGCGGTGCGAGCCTCTCCTGATCAGGACTGACCGGCGTGAGCCCACGGCAGGCACAGCGGGACCGGGGTGAGCGGGAGTGGCAGGCAGGAGCGGCAGGCAGCGTTGGACTGCTGGTTTCAGCCCGATCCCCGCAGGTCACGCCAAGAGAGCCCACCCATGTACAAATTCGTATACTGGGCCTCTATAATAACAAAAGCATAATATGCTAATTAGACCAGATAGCCAAACGACCTTCCGGACGTCCTTCCAGACAACCTTCCGGATGAGGCTGGGGCTGCGAGGGCTGAGGCAAGCCGCTGCAGCTGTGAGGGCTGAGCCCCTTGCACTAATTTCATGCGTCAGGCCTCTAGTTTGGTCAATAAAATTATATAGGTTTTCTGTATACAATTCTATAACACATCATCTATATGGTGCATTGTGTTCACCACCTTCTTCCATCACCATATATTTGACCCCCTTTACCTGTTTCTACCTAGCCAACTCCCTTTTCCCTCTGGTAACCACCATACTATTCTCTCTGTCCATGAGTTTCTATTTGTCTGTCTTCTTTGTTCATTTGTTGCTTTCAGTTTTATATCCAACGCTAGAGGCCTGGTGCACGAAATTTGTGCACTGGGGGCGGGCGTGGGGAGATCCCTCAGTCCAGCCTATGCCCTCTCACAGTCTGGGACCCCTCGGGGAATGTCCGCCTGCCGGCTTAGGCCCGTGGGAAGTGGGCCTAAGCCAGCAGTCAGACATCCCTCTTGCAGTCCGGGACCCCTCGCTCCTTACCGCCCGCCTGCTCACTGCTCCTTACTGCCCAACTTGTTGCTCCTTAGTGCTGCCACAGAAGCGGGAGAGGCTCCCACCACCACCGCTGTGCTCGCCAGCCATGAGCCCGGCTTCTGGTTGAGCAGCACTCCCCCTGTGGGAGTGCACTGACCACCAGGAGCCAGCTCCTGCATTGCACATCTTCCCCCTGGTGGTCAGTGCGCATCATAGCGACCAGTCGTTCTGGTCATCCCACTGTAGCAGTCGCTTAGGCTTTTATTATATAAAAGATGAGTGAAATCATTTTGTTATTGACTCTTCCTGTCTGACTTATTTCCCTTAGCATGATAGTCTCAAGATCCATCCATGTTGTTGCAAATGGCAGTACTCATCTTTTCTTATGGCTGAGTAATATTCCATTGTATATATGTACCACACTGAAAGGGGTGGCATTTTTTCTACAAATCTACATGCCTGTCATAATGGAAGATAGTGGATTCTCATATCTGCTTCTGTATTCAATCTTTTGTAATTTGTTATTTTGGTTGAGTAGATGAAGAAAGTCTAGCCTCGTCACACATATACATAGTTGAAAAACAGGAGAATGCTAACAGCCTTTTCAGATAATCATGGCTATTCTTTGATACCACACCAAACCGTAACGAGTGGTAATTTTTTAGAGGTTAGCTGCCATGTGAAATCTGAAACAATATTAATGAATGTTTCCAACTCTTATATTACAATCCATTGGTTTCTTACACTTTGAATCTTATATGCATACAAGATATTTACCATCAATGCATTTGGTCATTAAAAATTTTGGTGAGAGTTATGCATACCTTTCAAGTATTGACACATTTCACTGTACTATTTTAAAATACCACATTTGTTAAAATCACTGATCTTATTAAAAGACTTCTTTAAGTACTGGGAACCTGTCCAGTTCAAGGTAATACAAGTTTTCCAAAATTCTAATTTTTTTTAAAAAACTCCAACTTTATCACTGGCAAAATATACCGTCAGTTGGTCAGTTGTTTTCCTTAAATGGCAAATTAACCTCATTCATTTGTGAGAAAATGTCTGCCAAATAAGAAAAACCAGTTTGTCGCTTCTTTCAAATAAAGTGTTATTCTATGAAAAAAATACTTTGGTCAGCTCACAACTCAAACAGTTACTTACGTGTTTTTCTTCAAAATTACCACCACATTTTGTAATGTAATGAAAGTTTATATGTACTTCCCATTTCACCAAATAGAATATTTTTAATTTTACACAAAGGCTGAGATTTTTAAAAACACTATTTTCCTGCTTACTTATGGACATTCATAAATGAAACTGGTATTTTTCACTTCAAGAATATGATGGTGAAGAATATCATAACTAGCCCTAGCCAATTTGGCTCAGTGGATAAAATGACAGCCTGCAGATCAAAGGGTCCTGGGTTTGATTCTGGTCAAGAGCATGTACCTCAGTTGCAGGCTCCTCCCCAGCCAGGGCCCTGGTCGGGGACGGGCAGGAGGCAACCAATCAATGTGGTTCTCTCACATCGATGTTTCTCTCTGTCTTTCCCTCTCTCTTCCACTCTCCCTAAAAAAACAATGGAAAAATATCCTCAAGTGAGGATTAACAACAACAAAAAGAATATCATAACTACTAATATAGTTTGGTGCTACTACTACCCTGATTTACACAGACTAAAGCATCAGCAGTTTTTTACCCACAACTGCTTTTGCACCATTATCAGTGCAAATGTCAACACAGTGAATAAAAAACAATGTCTTGATTGTATTATGCAAAGAGTTTTGATCTCATGGACACCCTAATACAGTGATGGCGAACCTATGACACGCGAACTCATTTTTTTGGTTGATTTTTCTTTGTTAAATGGCATTTAAATATATAAAATAAATATCAAAAATATAAATCTTTGTTTTACTATGGTTGCAAATATCAAAAAATTTCTATATGTGACACGGCACCAGAGTTAAGTTAGGGTTTTTCAAAATGCTGACAACCGAGCTCAAAAGGTTCGCCATCACTGCCCTAATAGGATACTGAGGACCCCCTAGGGTGCTGCTCTCATATTAGAATTTCAGGCATTTTCTTACTTCAAAGTAAGGTATACACTTTAACAGACTTTTGTGCATTGCCAGCTCAATTGACAATTTGAAAAACATGATGGAATCCTCTGTTATAAAATGAGAAATAATTTATTTTCCATTTCAACCCAGGAAAAAGTAGCCTAAAAAAAGTACATCAAATAACACTAACATGCTCTATTGATGCCTAATATAACTAGTAACTAATCTAGTAAACATAAACCAATACTTTATTAAAAATCCTAAGGCATCATTCACAACCAAGGTTAATATTTATTTCCTTAAAAAAAAATAGTTTCGAAAAATTGATTTTTTTTCTAAAGATAAAGAAAACTATATATAAAAGTATCTCTTCTATAAACTAAAAAGAAGTTGAAGGATATATCTCAGATATACTTCTTTAATCTTATTAACTGGATATTAAGTTGATTTTTCTAAAATCAAGTATAAATAATATACTATAAGCAAGTTCATATTATTATTTTTTATTGATTGATTTTAGAGAGGACAGAGACAGAGAGAAACATTGACTTGTTGTTCCATTTATTTATGCATTCACTGGTTGCTTCTTGTATGTGCCCTGACCAGGGATCGAACCCGTAACCTTGGCATATTGGGACAATGCTCTAACCAACTAAGCTACTTAGCCAGGGCCTAAGTTCATATTATTAAAATAAAAAGTAACTATCACAACACTGAGGAAATAAATAAGACTTATAATGTTAGTCAAATTATAGCAATTCATCAAAACTACCAGTCAATAAGTAATGAAAGCAGTTAGGACTTATTTAATACTACCCATGTTGGCACCTGGGTCTTTTTAAAATTCTTTCCTTTCCTTTATCTCATCCCCAATACTCCTTGCTTGCTATCCCTTCCTCATCAAGTCTCAACCTAGATGTCCCCACCCCAGAGACCATCTTTGCCCACTCTAAGTCTCCTCTTCATTAATCCTCCAGGGTCATTCTCTAACACTGCATCCAACCTTCACGGTTCTATGGACAAATTCTAATATTCTTTTGTTTAGTTTTTTTGTTTAGTTATATACTCCCCCACTGTATTATGCACCTTGTTAGTTCCAGTAGTCCCCCACTTATCTGTGGTTTCACTTTTCATAGTTTCAGTTACCTGTGGTCAACCACAATCCAAAAATACTAAACAGCAATACCAAAAATACACCACTCATAAGTTTTAAAATGTGCCCCCTTCTGAGCAGCATGATGAAATCTTGTGCCTTCCTACTCAGTCCCACCCCAGATGTGAATTATCCTTTTGTCCAACTATCCATGCTATATGCTCTCTTCACACCCCGTCCATTAGTCACTTGGTACCCATCCTGGTTATCAGATCGACTGCCCTGGTACTGCAAAGCTGTTTCAAGGAACCATTCCTTTACTTATTAAAGGCCCCAAAGTGCAAGAACAGTGGTGCTGGAAATTCAGATATGCCAAAGAGAAGCCTAAGTACTTTCTTTAAGTTAAGGGTGGGGAACCTTTTTCCTGCCAAGGACCATTTGGATATTTATAATGTCATTTATCAACTTAAAAATTAGCCTGCTATATTTAGTCACATTTAATTTAACCCACCCTAATGCCTTGGCAGAGCCAGACCAAATGTTTTCTCAGGGCTTATACAGCCCACAGGTAGGACACGTTCCTCACCCCTGCTTTAAGTGAAAAGGTGAATATAATACAATAAGATATATTGATAAGAGTATAACTTTTATTAGAGTACATTGTTATAAATGTCCTACTTTTTTATGTTACTATTCTATGTGCCTAATTTATAAATTAAATTTTATCATAGATGTTAGGTCTGATCAAAAAATCGAATCGATACCCCCTTCCCTGGGAAACTGACCTTTAGGTCATTTCGCTACTGACATTCCTTTTCATTTAGACCACATTCCATTTGCTAAGACCACAATCTTTCCCCTCTGGACCTGCCCAGAGAATTCTTCACCCAGAAAAAGCCTACCTGGAGTCTTTAAAATCTGTGTCTTCCAGTCCCCGGGTGCTGGCACTATTTTGGGGCTCAGCCCATCTGGTTTTCCAAATGACCTAAGAAATTCATAATTCTTTACTACTTCTGGCCTCATATGTACTTCCTTCAGCGACCCTAACAATAGATATTTATGTAGAGGGGGGAAAAACATAGCATATATAGGGTTCACTACTATCCTCGGTTTCAGGTATCCACTGGGGGTTCTTAGAACATATCCTCCTGAGATGTATAATGCAGAGCCATTGCACTATACCTATCACTTGGCACATAGGAGGTATCCAGTAAACATTTGTTAAATTAACTGAATAGGGGAATGAATTTCTCATTTGAAATTAAAGAAAAATTCAGTAAACATTTATTTCGCAAGTAGTTCCCACTATGGTGAGTACAGTCAAACCCCGGTTCTCAAATGTCTCCCATCTCGAACAATTCAGTTCTTGACCACGTTGTTCACAGAAAAAATGTCAGGGTTGTGGAACTAAACTTCAGTTTTAGACCTGACAACTCTTTCAGGCTGATACCTCAGCAGGACAAAGAGAGTCTCCCAGGATACAAAGGAGGAAATGCACAGCTTTAAAACATAAAGAGGCCATCACAAGTGCTGATGTTGCTAAGTGTGTGAAAGAAACCAGGGCACAGGCAGTTGAAGAGGTAGAAAAACTGAGTTGATTTGGATAACTGAAAAGCAGTTAGCCAGTGACAGCATTCAGAGGCAGCCATATATGAACAAGCAAAGATGCTGCATATTGACGGAAAGACACCTCTAAAACTAGTGCTGAAAATGATTTGGTTAAGGCTAGTAGGGGGTGGTTCAATGAACTTAAGAAGTGTTTATTTACAGATTAAACAGTATATTAGACACGTAACTGTATATAAGAAAGGTTAAAACAGGGAATCATTTGTGGGTCTGGAATGGATTTATTCAATATACATTATTTCTAACGGGAAAAAATGATTTGGTTTTCAAACTGCTTCTCGAACAACCTTCTGGAAAAAATTAAGCAAGAGAATGGACATTCCACTGTAATCTGTTTCTTACTGAGACAATGTATCTTTAAAGTTTTATAACTATTCCAATTAGTACTGTTACATAACAAACCACCCCAAACATAATGACATAAAACAAAAGCCATTTTATTGAGCTCAGATTCTCTGAACCAGGAATTCACAAAGGGCACATTGAAGATGGCTTGTCTCTGCTCCACCAGGTCTGGAGCCTGGATGCAGAGTCTCAAAGTCTAGGAGTGTCCCTGGGAGTGATTCAATGGCTGAGGCTGGCATCATCTGAATCATCTGATAGTTCATTCACTCACACGTCTGGGGACTGGCTTGGAAGGACTTGAAGGCTAGGACTGACCACCTGAGACCTTAGGTCTCTCCATGTGTCTTTCGTCACAGCATGGCAGCTTCAGGGTCTCAGACTTAGTGCTCCAAGAAGCCAGTGTTTCAACAAACAAGGTGGAAGCAGCATTGCTTTTTAAGACTGAGGCTAAGAAATCACACAGCATCACTTCTGCAGCATTCTACTGGTTACCAATAGGCATGTGCAAATCCAACAGGAAGTGAACTCCCCAATTCTCAATGGGTGTAGCCAGTTCTAGAAGAATATGTGGGGCAAGAGATATTGCTTGTGGTCATCTTTGGAAAATATAATCTGCTACAATAACTTCGTACTCACTACATGATTTGGTTAAAATAATACAAGTAGCACTATATCCTTTGTTTGGTTTTAACCCACAATACAAAATAATATTTCCCCAAAATGACTATATTTTCAACCTTGGAAATAGAAATTAAAATTTATATGGATAGCCCTGACAGGGTAGCATAATTGGTTAAAGCATCGCCATGATATACCAAGGTTGCAGGTTCAATCTCTGATCAAGGCACACATAAGAATCAACCAATGAATGTATAAATAAGTGGAACAACAAATCAATGCCTTTCTCTCCCCCTTCTCTCTTTAAAATAAATTTTAAAAATTTATATACATATTATTTTATGTAATATTTACAACTACCTTGTGAAATAGATGTTATTACTACCTGTATTTTTAGTAAGATGAGAAAGTTGAATTCAGAAACTGAGTAACTTGCCCAGAAAGATAAGTGCCAACGTTGGGATAAATCCAGACATGTGTGTTTCAAAGTCCAGGATCTTTCCACTGAACAGGCAGTTTGCACAGTACCATCTTAAATAAAATTCACACAGATCTCATGTATATCAGAGCTGTACAAAGCAAGGACTACCTGCATCTTGCTTTATATAGATGTAAGCTCTTCAAGAATGAATTTATAACCCAACCATGTTAGATAGTTGTACTAGCTAATAACTGTCTATAGATCTGAATATGTTAAATTTAAAAAATCACAATGAAATGTACCAGGCAGCACTCTCTGCTATAGTTTCTTAAGGGTGGTACAGCGCTGAGTACATATTCTAGCTTTCAGTACGTGTGTAACTGATTAAGTGAATTCTAGGGAAAATTTCCAGATCATTATAAGTAATAAGCACTTACATATTTCAAAGAAGCTGTACTAGATGCTAAAAAGCTAAATATGATCTATCCTCTCATTTAAATTCTTTGGCATTTGTGTCTCAGGAATTAGGGCCTTATCTGTATCTATTATTCATTGCTTATATTATTCTTCATCTACCAGTTAGAAGTGAAGCTTTTTAAAGCAGAAAATGTGGCTACGTTGCACTACTTATTTTTTCACTTTCCGTAATGCCTGATATGGCTGTCTTGTGTTTCTGATTTGAATGACTGTGCTATGTACAAACCATATCAAAGCCAGAAATGTGGCACAGTGGACAGTTATTTTCTTGGAGCTTAACACTACCCTCCCCCAAAATGCATTCTTGCAACCAAAAGGAAATTAATCAAATCATGTAAATTTTCTATCTTTGTTCTAAATAATTTTAAGGCCAAATACCTTATAACTCTAAAGGCAGACAAACATTTGTATTTCTATGGAAGATAAATATATCAATGTAATGTTTGCTTTTTCTAATGAACAGTCTCACCTTTTATGCTGGAGTTACTTAATAAAACATCAAAAGGGAATATTTTCAGAAGAATTAAAGAAAATAATTTTTAATAAAACAACAAATTTCTTGTTAAAATAAAATTATTCCTGGTTTGTTTGTTTTCCGGCTATGAAAAACAAAACCTCTACCCATAAATTAGGGAACTTCCTAGATATTTAAAATTAGTTTATAAATGTTATATAATTTTTAATATAAAATCAGGATTTTATATATTTATAGTTATATAAATAATTTTATATAATTCTTATGTGAAAAAATGTTTTCTTATATATAAGAAAATAATATTCTCTTCAAATAATCCAGCAGCCCTGTGCTTTGATGACTTTTTTAAATGCCATGCCATCATTTTCCCTTAAAAGTATAAAGGAAAGAAAAAATACAGACCTTGGTTTCAGGGCTGATAAGTCTTTATTAGGTAACTAATCTTCAAGGCTTCCATATTATAATTGATATTAATTCCCTAAGAAACAGATTTGAAATCTATTCCTTGGTTCTTATTCAATAATGATAATATTTTAAAGATATACATGAAATGGGGATTTAAAGAGCTTAAGTAATTTGCTAAAGGCTGTACTAGTCAAGTAAATTATGGAAGAGAGATTCTAGCCTATTTTAAAAATATTTTTATTGATTTTTTTTAAACGAAAGGAAGGGAGAGGGGAAAAAAAGAAACATCGATGTGAGGGCAGAACATCAATTGGTTGCTTCCTGCAGGCCCACCAGTGGGGATCTAGCCCACAACCCAGGCATGTGCCCCAACAGGGGAATAGAACCAGCAACCTATTGGTGCATGGGATGACACCCGACCAACGGAGCCACACCAGCCAGAGCTATTTTCTATCTTTTGATTTCTTATATCATTCTGGTCAATTGAAAATTCAGTGTAAAGATGATTGATGGCCACTTATTAATACTCTATCTGAGATTTCTCTAATAGCATTTGAATGACTAAGGATTTATTTATATTAGAAATTGTGGTAAAACTGAACTTATTTTTTGAAAACAAATTTTTCTAAACCTAAGAAATTATTGTGAAAATTAAATCATGCAATCATTTTTTTATGTACTGTCTATACCTGTGTCCACATTATGACAGCTGAATAAAGACAGAAACCATATTTCCAGTGCAAAAGAAACTTCCATATATCTAAATGCATTTAATTATGCAATTAAGGAACTTCTACTTAACTTTCTATTGGAAGTACTTAATCTGCAATGTAACAGCAAGCTAAAGGGCAAATATTAAGAGAAATATCTAAAAGAATTCTGTACATGCCTTCAGACAATGAATATGCTCATTAAAATCATATGCCTATGGACTGATAGCAATATTACAAAGTCCATAAAGTCACATTACAGATCTGCATTAACAAATAAAATCTGCAATCAATTTTAATAATAGGGTAACTCTGAATCCCAATGAAGTAAAATTCTATTTCAAGAAAAGAATTACAGTCTTAGTGTTCAATTAATGTTATATTTTGAATTTCAGCAATAAAAAATTTGTGGGTAATTGTTTTCTCTTATCATATATATATTTCTTTATCTATGTAATATCTTTGATTTTGCCCCTTGGCCTTCAGAAGGTCTAAAATGTTTATCATCTGGTCCTTATATGAATGGTTTGGATACTTACGCTCTACAGTGGGTGGTGCTATTCCAAATGCAGCAGCATCTAGGAATGTCTTGACAATACAAATTATTGATCCACCCCACACCTACTGAATCATCCCAAACCTACTGAATCAGAATATCTGAGGGTGGGCCCAGTAATTCTTTTTCCCAATAAGCACTCCAGGTGATTCTTATGCAATCTGAAGTTTGAGAACCACTGCTCTTAAACAGGATTTTAGAGACTGAGTTGTGTCCCTTGGATAAATTATTTAATCCTCTGAGCCAACAAAATGATAGTGTCATCCACTTCACAGAATTGTTGACAGGATGAAAATAAAATTTAAAAAATATTAAAAACAGTAAAGCTGAATATAACTGATATCAGTAATTCGTAATAAGTGGTAATATAGTCCTTATTAATCCAATGGTGTACTGGCAAGCCCCCTTGTACCAGCTCATGAGATATGATTATTAAATTTTCAGAAACTTTGTGAGGCAATTATTAAAATAGCTATTATTAAAAATTAAATTATATAAACTTAAAATTAAATAAGTTATATTCAAACTTATTATAAGATGCAATACTCAAAACTCATTACTAAAAACTTTATTACGTTACTATTATCTATGCTCATGAGGTTATTATCTACACTAATAAAAGAGAAACATGGTAATTAGCGTACGACCGCTACCCTTTTCATTGGCTAATCAGTGAGTATATGCAAATTAACTGACAACCAAGATGGCGGCCGGCAGCCAGGCAGCTGGAAGCGAACATGAGGCTTGCTTGCTTCAGTGAAGGAG